CACCCCCTCCTCCCGACCCACTCAGTGTCAGCAGTTGCAGCGCGTGCATTCCCTGCCTCTTTGTGATATATAGCTGTGGGGCAGGCAATGCATCTCCCCACAACTGACTGGGACAGGAGGGGAGGGTGGCTGTCAGAGTTTTCAGTAGGCTTTGGTAAACTAAGCTGAACTGGGTTACCTAGCACCAAGCTTGGGCACATCACTAGCCTTTAGCTTCCCATCATTAATACAAAACATCTTTTATTTTCAGTGATATAGGAGGATCAACTAGGCTGCCCCGTGTACTATACAAAGAACCCCAGGTTTTTCTGTTTTTTTTTTTTTAACACAAAATGATAAGATTGTTTATGTAAGGGCCTGTTCACACTAACCCCTCCACTAAAATGGAGCATTGTGTGTTGTGACAGCTGCAGCAGTGTGCGCTTTATTGCAAATAGCTGTAACTGTCACAGTTTTCATTTGTTTTCTTTTTAAACTTTATTTGAATTGTACAAACAGCAGTGTAGTTTGCTGCAGTGACTTGTGGACTATGTCTGCATTTAGTGACAGCGAACTGCACATCACACCTGCATTGTGGTGTGAACGGGGCACATAGAAAACAATTGTCTTCAATGTATCCTAGCCCTGACTGGCATTGTTTAGTTGCTGATGAAGGCCAGTCACTGCATCTAGTGTGAACCTAAAGCTGATCTCTCTTAAATGAAGTGCCTCTTTGCACCTTTGTATGACAGTAAGGTGTGCACAGCACCACAGCATGCACAACATTCATCCCGAATGGCACCTCAACACAAAAACGCAACATGCATTGTCTGGGGCAAAAAAGGGTCAGGTCCAGTTTTCAGTGTACTGGGGTGGGTTGGCAGCCCATTTAAAATTAATGGGCTGCCTTAGCCTAACACATACCGTGTGGCATAACCCAGCACACAGTTGGAAGGGGCCCGAAAGGAAATCTGTCTAAAGGGAAATATGAAGGCTGTCACTGTCCATCTCTTATTAACATGTTAGTTGCCTGGATGTGTATGCAGCAAGTGAAGTCAGAACTTCAAATTTGAATATTTTCTCAAGATTAGTGACTCAAAAAGCACTAGAGGCAGAGAATCAGTGCGACAGCCAAAGAACAGTTTTTTTTTTTTCAGGAGGTAAGCAATGGTAGCTTTTGAATTTCTCTAGTGGCAGGTGGACTTTTATTGATCTTTTAGTGCATGGGCCTTCCAGTTAAATGGATGTAAACTATATCTCAATAAGTGGGGGGAGGATTGGCTGAAGATTAAAAGAAAGTCCATGCAGTGCCATGAAGCAGCACAGTTAAGATCAGAGCACCACTGTTTGGTCACAGTGCGATAAGCAGAACAAAAATAGTTTAGATCTGAAAAAAAGACTACCACATCTATTTATAAAAAGTCAGCAATACGTCTATGACAATACTATTTACCTTGCCGTAATTACTTTTGTTAACGAGGGTGTACACACATAACGAAACGAGGTAAGGGTTAAAATGGACCATATAGGATTTTTTGGGAACATTTGCAGCCCGGAACTGAGCAAATATATTAGTAAAATCAGCAGTTTATATTCACTACTGTATATGAGTGGATACAATCTCACCCCTTCCCTTCAGACCAGTCAGATGGTGAGGGCATTAACGATCTGCAAAATCTTGCCAGGCAAAGACTGGGCTATGCTCTAAGGTGTATTTTAGGACTTTTGCAGTCTACCGTAGTTTGAGAAAACCCTCTATATATGTTTGAGGTTTGTTATGTGTTCCCATTCCCACAGCATTCCCAAAAATAATAATGATACAAAAAAACTACCTTTTTAGCTGTGTTTGGAGCAGGATTATACATACAGGGAGCTTCTAGTGGTTAGAATAGACACCAGTGTGCACATGAGGGACATACTAAGGGACACATTTTTTTTTTTTTTAAAGTGGACCTTCATCCCCTTTGACTAAAAATCCCATCTGCATGCGGATATGAAGTCATCTTACATTACTTAGCTAAAGAAACATATTTTTATTTTACTTACAATTGCTGTTTTTCTACTTTCTGGTCCACTTTGGCACACGTGATGTACTCATGCCCAGTCATGGCATCCTGGGAAGGTTACATCAGCAGAGCATTGCTGGGAAATCTCATCTGTAATCTCATGAGATCTCCGGGAAAGGCATTTTCCTTCCCTGAGATGATGTGCATGGTCACATGTCCTAGTCACATGTGCCATAGTTCCAGGAAGTAAAGGGAGATCTAGTAACCTGCATTTAGTTAAAATGGCCACTGTCAGAAGACTCGGGAAAGAAAAGAGAAATAAAATATGCAAAGAATACAAAGCCGGCAATTATCTAGGAGTATGTGTTTGTAGATTGACATTACTAAACATTTCTAAAGGTGCCTTTGTTGTTATTTTGAAGATATGGGATAACGTTTCTCTTTAACCCTCTCGCTGCCACCGACGTATGTCATACGTCGGTGGCAGTGGGCCCTTTTAAACAGGCTAAAGCCGCCAGGACTCTGTTTACATTTGTAAAGCCGCTTTACAATAGAAGCGATTCTGGCAACTCAGCTGCTGCCAAATTGATTGCCGAGGCCAGTAGTGTCCCACCCCCCCGCCTTGTTTCCGGGGCTCCGCTGCCCCTCCTGCAGGACCGGGCCCAGCATGTTGGGTGTTGGCAGGAAGTTGGGGAGGAGAGTGGCGAACGGGACTAGGAGTGATGCTGATTGCATCACTGCTGAAGCCAAGCAATAAGCTATTGGAGTTCAATCTGCAGTTCAATAGCTTATTTGTGGAAAAGTGACACTAGATGTCTTTTGGACCCTCAGTATCACCTTAAAGAGTACCAGTCACTGCTAATATGTTATCACATAGGGGGATTGTAAGCCCCCCATCTGATAGCAATTAAAGTAAAAAAAAAACCATAGTGCCCCTACATACGTATGAAAATGATGATTGCGCTACATATGGTGGGTATCGCTGTGCATGACCTGTAGGGTCTTTTTTTATGTATGCAATCAATTTTTAACCTGGATATGTTGGGTATCTACTTACTCGTTGTAACCTCATATTTTATATTTTACCCAAAAAATGGGTATTATATTGTGTTTTTGGGCACTAAAATTAACAAATGCATTTTTAATTCTTTTTTTAGGTTTGAAGAGCTGAACCAATATTGTGCAACATAAAAATTTACAACTGCCACCATTTTATTCTACAGGGTCTTTGCTTTCAGAAAATATATAATGTTATGGGGGTTTTAAGTAATTTTCCGGCCTAAAAATGAGTGCAAAAAAATAAACAAAAAAAGGCATTGGCAGTGAAAGGGTTAAGTACATTTACATATAATGCCTTGAGATCTTTAAACCTTTGTTAAGACAGGCAATCCCACTCATCTAGTTTTCAAGTGATAATAAAATCTGCCAGCACAGTACAGGCAGTGTTAATTATGCAAACAAAACTCCCCCCTCAACCCCCCTTGAAGAGTGAAAATGAAGTAGGATTTTTCAGCCCTGCCATTTCCAGAATAGAACATTCAAAGAAGGTAAGCTGCATTTTTTTTTTTTTTTTACAGGTAGGCTATGTGAATGGGAACATGTAACAAATGCAAAGTGGGTGTTATCCCAATTTGGCTGTAACAGTGCAAATACACTTTAATACAGAATACGGAGAAAGTGAGAATTAATTCCTGATTCTATTGTATGATGGATGCCCAGCTCCCTTTAGTCTGATAATAAGCAAAAAAGGTAATGTGATTCCAGCCTGAGGAGTGGAAGCTGGCTTACCTAATAATACAGCACAAGGTGCAATGGGAATGTGCAAAATGCCGGAACCATTGAAACCAATTAGCGCCAATTTTACTGTATTAGTAAAATATGGAATCTGATTGTTTTGGGTCATTGCACATAGTCTAGAGTCTAAAGAACCAAATATGTAGGAACTGCAGTAACAGCTTCTAAGAGGTCCCTTCCTCCCCTACGTTACTATCTCTATTATTAAAGTAGTAAAACTGTGAAATGCACATGTGCTATAAGGAAAATCCTCCAGTGAAGAGCGTCAATGTGAACCTGCTGAGAGGTGATGCAAAGCACATACATACAGTATGTCCTCTGCACTTAGTCGGGTGATCCATTATATAAGATGATTTAAGTAGAAGGGATGTATCATTTGCACCAGTTGCCAGCAGGGTCCTTGCAGGGTCCTTGTGCATCTCTGCCATGGAGGATTTCCTGCCAGCATCTCTCAGCTCAACACATATATGAGCTTTACTACTGCAGGACAGTAAAGGGAGTGGATAAATATTTGCAAAAGGATCCCAACTTTACCAACAAATGTATTACAAGAGGCCGTGTACAATTCTATAACAGATGAAACATTCACTCACTAAATAGGCTAAACGTGCAACATGTTGGCATCTGGACATTATTAAATAAACAGTCCATAATAGAAGTCACCAGCACTCAATGATGTGTGCAAGAAGTAAAGCACTTATTAAATTGTCACATGCGTCATACAGCCAACGTTTCGGGGCCAGGCAGGGTCCCTTCTTCTGGACGACATAGTGACCTTCAAGGTTTCATCAAGGTCTGTATACTGTATGGAGTGCAGGTGATTTTGTATTATTTATTAAATAAACAGATATTTCATAGCAGTGTCACAAGCTGGCCTACCCCCTCCCCTCCTGCACCATCCTATTGGCCCATCACTATAATGGGCAGTGTTGCCAGTCATATGAAAAGGTGCGAGAGGCAGTGAACCAGCTTTCTACACTACTAGAAGTTTCAGTATTTGCATGCTAGGTTATCTTTGGATTTGAGGTTCCTGAAGCCCTCTAGAAGGCATCTAGGAGTAAGCACAAGATCTGCTAGATGCCTGCATGTTGGTCCTGCAACCACTTTATATTCATTTCTTTAATGACAGGGGTACTCAAAGGATGCTTAGAATTAACAAGAGCAAAGGAAATGTATCCAGCACTTACTAAACCAACAGTGTAACAAGTCCACAACACTTACCGTACACAAAGAGTGTATATTCAGCTGAAGAGCTGCCCACAATGTTTGATGCCTCACACCGGTATGTGCCATTATCTGTTTTGTTTAGGCTGCTGATGTAAAGTTTGCCATCTTCGATGATGACATTATCTGGAAGATCGTCGTCTACTCGCTGCCAAGAAACCTTTTCTGGCCTGAAAGCATAAACCGAAAGACTTGAGCAATCCTCTGTAAGATAATGGTTGATTATTAGTGATGTGTAATATCAAAATGCATTGTTAATATATTGGAAGTGTAAAATTCAACACATCCATCTTTGTTATATGCATAACATTGGATTTAAAATACTCTACAAGAAAATATTACATATAATATACATTTTAAACTGTGTATATTAAGTTTGCCGTAATTACAAATAGTAGTAGTGTTAAGAGCCAAAATCTTAGTTGCCTCAAGTGAAGATCCAGAGTTGAACCAGTGATCTCCTGTCTCACCTAACACTGGGTAAAACAAATAAGTCCGCCAGAAAGCAAACAAGAGAGGAGGGCACTAGAGGAACCCCACTAGATGTTTACATGTAGGCCATAGGCAAGTGTGTGTCTTGGGGCAGAATCCAATAACTGAGCAAGAACACAATATCAAATATTAAAAGAGGTAATTAAATCACCTACTTTGAAGTGTTGCAACTTTTGCATTGATTCTGCTATATATCATATCTGTGTATGATAGTCCAATTGTACAGCACCTTCTAATTGTTGGTTATGTGTTTAGATGAAGCACTGAGATCTTGAGGAATGTTGAATTAAGTTTTACTTGCTTAGCAGGAATACAGCATAGTAGAGAGGAAAACATATAGGCAGATTCCTGTGCATCATAGAAAGAAGCATGCATATAGGAAAAACTAGCATAGACTAGACTTGCACTACAGCGCCATTTAGTGCTCAAAAGACATAACAGTACATCAGAATGTCAGTAATGCAATCAGTGTAAATTAGCATATGTTGTTGCATTTCCAACACTAATTAACCCGAACCACAATCCTGGCTGACTCCTAATCCAGTCCCTTTAGCTTGTCTCCTTCTCCACTCCAGAGAGGGAATGTCCCTAGGCGTCCTCATGTCTTATACACTGAGTACGAGGTGATGACTCACTGGACCTTAGACCGCTGGAGCAGAAGAGAAGCGAGGCTAAAGTAACCAGTCTAACCAGATGGGATTGTGGTTTGAATGAGTATAACTCATAACTGTTATTTTAGCTCCCTAGACCAAAAGAGAACTACCCCCTGCACTGCAAGGGTTACGATTTTATTTCCCAGCGGTTCTTCTTTAACGTGTACATAATAAATTGAGATAATGCAATAAAGCTATATGAATAACTCATAAAAACAAGGACATAATTCATTGTATTTCATATTCTTTCTAGGATTGGCTCTTTTTTTTGGAACAGTTACATGTAGATAAATATAACAGTAAACTACATTAATAACATGCTCTGTGCCACTTGTTCTCACTCCTGCCCTCCAGCACCAGTATTAGTGCACATTTTCCAGGTCTAGTCACCAAGGGTGAAATCATTAGTGAGCTTCTTTTAAAATGTTACTAATTATCACACTACAGAGAAGCCTGGAAAACAAACTGTTACTGGCATTTGATGAAAAAAGTGTGAAGAGCCTTGCTCTATGCCAGCAGCATAGGTAAAATAACTTCAGTATTCATAACAAGATATAACAACAAGTGTACAACAGGAGCTTCAGATTTCTGGATTTCACTCTAGCTGTATGTTGCTTGGAATGCCATTATAGGTTTTCTAATTGCCTTTTAATTTCTCCTATTTTATGGTACATTTTAATTCTGGTTTTCTTTTGCAATTAGCGAATCCTGCTTATATGATGGAATACTCAATATCTGTAGACATTGTTATAATGTAATTAGTTGAATAATTCTTTGCAACAATCTTCAGTACCATTTTGGTAAAGATACTTGGGGGAAAAAAAAGCCATCTGGTCAATCTGAGGTGGAGTTTAATGGATGAGGTGGTATTACGCTGATCCACTTATTTTCGCATAGATAAACGAAAAATAAATTATTCTTACTAATAAGATTCCATATCTTTCATTTGTAGCTCTGTACATGCCTACTAATAGCCTATATACTGCAAACTAATTTGATATTTGATATGCTCTTTGATGCAGAACTATCTCCGTGTGTACTAAATCCAAAGAACTAGGCTGTTTACAAAATCATTGGTTAAAAAAAAAAAAAAAAAGATTAAAAAGAAACAGGAAATTCAGTGTACTGAAACTTCTCCATGTACTGACACAGAGATAGACCACCCCCCTCCCCCCCAACCCAGCTATATAGTAATTGGCAGAAAGTTCAGATTTAAAGTGTATCTTTATGAAAGAGAGAAGCTGAATGGTTGATGTGAACAGCTGCTCCAGATTTTGTATGCTCCAGTTTTGATAAATTCCACTCAAGGTGGTCAATGTTGAAAGTAGATGCACAGCATTGCTTTCAAAGGGTAAAGAGTTTTCTAAATGTATTTATTTATTGTTGGTATTTGTATAGCACCAACAAGTCACACAGAGCTTTATAGAGTTTACAGAGTTGCACATTCACATCAGTCCCTGCCCTCAAGGAGCTTACAATCTACGGTCCCTATCTCATATAAATACAGGGCTGATTCAGGCAGAAGCCAATTAACCTACCAGCATGTCTTTGGAGTGTGGGAGTAAACCGAAGTACAGGGTGGAAAACCACGCAAGCACAGGGAGAACATGCAAACTCCTTGCAGATAGTGCCCTGGCCGGGATTTGAACCGGGAACATGGGGAGAGGTGTCAGTTAGGACACATCTATTTTAATAAATGGTTGCCGTTTAAAGAACAAGGCTAATCCTTTATTAGCATGTTTGTTTCACTTTCAGGATTGAACAACATAATTTTTCACTAGGAAAACCCACCATTTCTGAAATTTTCCAATTGTAAATAGGGATGCACTGATACCAGTATCAGTGCCGATACAGAGTATTTGGGTGAGTACCCGTACTCGCCCAAATGCTCCGATACTTACCTAACATACTGGAACTTCTGCTCAGAAGGAGATCTGGCAGTGCTAAGGGAGCATTAAGCTAGCTGCCTTTCCAATCAGAAAGATGGGCGGCGGGTTATGACCCACCACCCGGCTTCCTGATTGGCTAGAAAGCTAGCTTCACTTGTTGCTAGGCAGCCTGTCTTCCTAACCAATGAGGAAGCCGAGCGGCAGATCGTGATCCGCCTCCTGATCGGTCAGGAAGCCAGGCTGCCTAGCAACAAGGGAAGCCAGCTTCCTAGCCAATCCGGAAGGGCATGATGTGCTGCCCGGCTTCCTGATTGGCTAGGAAGCCGGCTTCACTTGTTGCTAGGCAGCCTGGCTTCCAGAGCAATCAGGAAGTGGGGCAGCACCTCATGACCTGCTGCCCGGCCTCCTGATAATCAGAGCACAACGCACTAGGTGCCTGGTGTCGGCGAGTACCAAAAAAAAAATATATCGGTACTCATACTCTTTACCGAAAAAACTGTATTGGTGCATCCCTAATTGTAAACTTTATTGATGCTGAAAGCTCCTGCACTCAAAAGTGAGGTACAACATGTAAAGAAAACACAGATGACATAACAGGTGCGTGGCTACCTACAAGAGGTAGATCAGTGATCTGATTTCTCTCATCTTTCTTAAGCAGTTACCTTCTCCTAACTCATTTCTGGCCCAGACCAATCTCCAATGTGTCCTCGGGGATTTCAAGTGCAGCTTTTCGCCCATCCTCGCAAAACAGAAAATGTGATTGCTTCAAGGGTATTCAAGGAGAAAACGTCCTAGATATGGCTAATATAACATATCCATCCCTCACTAGTACAGTTTCCATCATCTTTCATAAGCCGTTACATCCCTCCAACTCATTTCTGGCCCAGCCCCATCTCCAGTGTGTCCTGCAGGGATTTCAAGTGCAGCTTTTCACCCATCCTCGCAAAGTAGAAAATGTGATTAGCTGTAATAACAATCTCTGAACCAGCCGATTTATGTAGGCATTGATGCGTACACGAGTGGATGGGATAATCGGGATCTTCTAGAGCCGCTATTTGTAGTTACATGTGGAGTGTTTTCCAATTATATAGAACTTGGAAAGGACTCCCAATTCCACCATACCTCCCCTACTGAAAAGCGTCTCAACAGTAAACATTTTACACTTCTGCTCAGTTCATTTCTAATATGACAGCCCCACATAGATCTTTTGCCTGACACAACAAAAAACCTGATATCTGTCAGATCTGTAAATGTCAGTAGTGTGATAAATTCTGTCTGGCTCTGTTTCTTTTTTTTTTTTCATTTAAAGCAAACCTGATGCAACTCTGTGCGATTCAAAAGGGTACATATTGTGAAAAAATTTAGCACTAGAAAAAGTTACCTATAGTTGAACAGCATGCCAAAAATGATAAATGCAAATACTGACTTCTCCTGTAAAAGCCGAACTTGACCCTTCCCCCTTCTGGTCACTAAAGTGTACATAGACACAAATCTTATTTGCTCCCGATTGGTCTGTTAAAGGAGAACTATGGGGTAACCATTTTATCACATAGTTATCTTTAGGGTCAAGGGAGGACATATACTAATGTCCTCCTGTGACCCAAAGCTCTGTATATAGCGGGCTATTGCTCGCCATATACTGAGAGTGCTGCAGCCGGGATGGATCTCAACAATACTGTTGATATCCACCCAGCTGGATGATTAACAGGGGGCTCTGCCTATCTAGAGGCTGAGCCAGCTGTGCCCGCCCCCTTCCCTGTCTGTTCCTCCAGTCAGCACTACAATCCCATTCGGGGAGTGGTGACTGACAGTCACTGCTCTCTGCAGGGAGATAATCGGGGTGTGTTCGCTCACTTCACGATCAATAGAACCGACGTGTGACAGTTTCAATGTCACACATCGGCTCTAACTATGAGGATGAGTGTAAATCACTCACCTCATAGTTCGCCTTTAAATATACCATTGAAAAAGTTTTGTTATATCAGTTCGATGGGTAAAACAAATTCCCCTTGATCCTGCAAGAAATTATGTGAACTGATAACCTCCTGTGGATACATTTTATCAGTTAGCTCTATTCCCAGTTATCTCACAAAACTCACCCCCCCATGTTATAAAGAAGAAAAGAGGGGTAGGCGC